TAAATTTAACGATATTTTGTTATAACATACCAATAAACCAATTGTTTATATAAAATCAATAAATATAAATTATAGTCCCCATTTATCACTCGTATATACACTTTAAAATTCAATGGAGGTCCTGGTTTGTAATAATTATCACAGAAAAATTTATCTTACAAAATGAAATTTATTTTTGATTAAGTATAGTAATGTGACACCAACTTACACTTGCATTGTGCATTTGAATATAATAATTTATAACAAAATATAACAAAAGTAATATGTTTTGTCAAAAATTTTGTTTGTAAAGTTATATTAAATGTAGAAATAAACATGACAAATTTTTACATTAATACTATGACAATATATTAATTATTATTGATATTATTGATAATTAAATTAATATTGGTTTCACATAATTTTATATTGGAAAATATATTTTAATTTTTCTTAATAGTATTATTTATCATATAATTTCAAATTATTATATTTGGATGTATCTTGCAATAGTTTAGAGATAATTGTATAATAAAATTGTTTATATGAAAATCTCAATTTTCTGTTCAGCAAATTGATTTTGCTGACATATACAATCATATTTACATTCAAGGTGCAGGACACAGTTAATATGCGATAATAAACAAATACATACATTTATATTATAATTTGTAATTGTATATGCATTCAAAAGGAAAAAACAGTGCAAAACAATCTAAAAATTAAATCAATTAAAATAAAACAATTTAGTAAAAAAATTATGATATGCAGGAACTAAAAGTTTGCTGTGCCAAAGTTCACAAAAGCTACAAAATAACTTACAAAATTCTTTAGTGGAACTGGTAAGATAAAATTTTATTAAAGTGTATTTTAAATGACATATAATGACACTGTTTTTTATAAAATAAAAACATACATATTACAAATTATGAGGATGTAAAAATGAAATAAAACAGCATTATCTGCAATTTGATCTAATTATTTTTTAAAAACTTATAATAATATTTATAATGGTAAATTTGATACATTTATTATATTGTTAGGTATCTATTTATAATTTCTTATAAATGAATATTAAATGTACAGAGTGTATAAGTGTATTCAAATATAATTTATTATTAGCAACATTTAAATTATTTAAAAACTATGAAATACAAGAATGGTAGATAAAAATGTATGAAACTTTATTTTAGATGTTGGCTGTGAACACTTGATAAAAATATTTGTATATGTAGTTTATGTCTTAGTAACAAATGTTCAAAATGCATATATATATACACATATATATATATGTGTGTGTTATTCTTTTTATAATTACCTCTGTTTAAGTTAGTAAATTATGTTAATTATACAAAATAAATTATGCTAATTAACTTATAACACTGCGTAAGAAGCAGGATTTTAGTATGTAGTCATTAATATGCTCTTTTTTCTATACATTTGTGAATTGAACACAATGTGTAATAATCATTACAATGTATACATATATATATATAGAATAATAATGTTGTGATATTATGTACTACACTTTACAGTGTTTAATAAAGGATTTATAAAAATATATACCTTACTATATATACTATAATATTATACAATTATTTGGTGTTTAATTATTTGTCTCATCTCATCAGTCACAACAAACATTGGTCCATGTCCAGGTATTATAAAATTTGCCAAATTTATTACATAGGATCGCATATGTGATTGAATTTTTTGTAATTCTTTAGTTCCTAATTCTTTCCAAATTGATGGATTTAGTATGTCTGCTTCTTTCTCAAATAAATCTCCTATCAAATTTATAACAATATAGAAATTTATATAGTGTTTACGGTATTATTATATCTTTTAAAAAATAAACCTGTTATAGCAAAACATGTGGATTTTTCAGAAATTGATGCTTCAACTAAAACTGTAACATCATCTGCTGTATGACCAGGGGTAGCTATAACTTCAACTTCTGGACAAATTTTATATCCTACATATGTATTTAATAATAATAATAATTTTTGTATTATTTTTGTACACTTGCATAATTTTATTATAATTTTACTATACACTCCATACCGTTTTTTAAATTTTTATCGAAAAATAAGTCACCACGGTGAATACAAGTTCCAATTATATGTTCTGCATTAATAAACAGGTTATTGTTTCCTATATGATCAGCATGACTATGAGTACAAACAACATAATCAATTTCTTCGGGTGTAATATTATGTTCAGTAAGTGCTGAAATAAAATTTCTATTTTATTAACAATTACAAACGTTAGTAATGTTACAATGTATAATACCTTGTATTATTTTTTCTCTATCCCAAGCTGTCATAGTATCAACAATAATATTCTTTGTTGCCTTTATTAATGTACAAGAACAATTTGCTTTCATTGTTCTATCGTCAAGCTTTGTAGAATAACCATTAAATAATACAATAACTTCACACATTTTTTTAAACTTAAATGTAAATGTGAAACATTTACGTTTTACCACTGATTTGGTTATAACTTTATATTATAATAATGTGAATTGTATGTATTGTATGAATAAACTTAATTTATTTAATTTATTATGATATAAGAATATTATAATAAAAAAGATATTTAAAATATTAAACTTCGTAATACGGGTTATGTTACTAATGTACATGCTGAATCAAAACATCTTTGGTTATAGTTATATCAAATAAAAAATAAACAAAAGGATAATATTGTAATACTTTAATATAACATAAATAATTCTTATCTTTTAAGGTTACTTTTATTACTTCTAAATTACTTTATTATTAAATAAAATCACTAAAATATATGTCTACTAAATTTTATGAATTATTCATCACATTTGCATTTTACATAAATTTATTATATTTATAGTATTGTTTATCAAGTGAACCAACAAAACCATGTTTGGTTTTAAGTTTCAAAGGGATTACTTTAATGTTGGATTGTGGTTTAAATATGCAATCTATTTTACATTTTATGCCTATGCCTATGGTTCCCAGTTCTAAATTTAATTCTTTACCTTTGTGGCTTCCACGTGATAATCATCAAGACTGGCAAATAGAAGGAGTATGTATACTTATCTATTTTATTAGAAATTTATAAATAAACTTTTATTTATATTAGATATTTAATCTTTTAGGAACTAAAAGAATGTTGTGGTAGAGTATTTGTAGATTCAACTCCTGAATTTTCTCCACCTTTAGAGAAAATAGTAGATTTTTCAGAAATTGATGCTATTTTAATATCAAATTATACTTGCATGTTGGCTCTACCATTTATAACAGAAGACACTGGTTTCAAAGGCATTATTTATGCTACAGAACCAACATTACAAATTGGACGATTTTTTATGGAAGAATTAGTAGAATTTATTGAACAAACACCTAGAGCTACATTAGCTAAACATTGGAAGGAGATGCTACATGTATTACCTCCTCCATTAGCTGATGCTCTTAAACCAAAATCTTGGAAACACATATATTCAACATCAGCAGTTAATACTGCTTTATCATATATTCAAACAGTTGGATATGATCAAAAATTGGTAAGTTGACATGATGTTACTTTGATTTATTTATATATTCTTTTTATTTTCTATAGGATATATATGGTGCATTAACAGTTACTCCTATAAGCTCTGGATATTGTTTGGGTAGCAGTAATTGGTTAATTTCATGTGACCATGAGAAGGTTGCATTTGTAAGTGGATCTTCAACATTGACAACACATCCACGCCCTATGGAACAAGCTACTTTAAAACATGCTAATATGTTAATATTAACAGGTTTAACTCAAACACCTACTGCAAATCCAGATACTATGCTTGGAGAACTTTGTATGACTGTTGGTAGGTAGATATGAATTGTTTTATTTAGTATTAATAATTTAGTATATATATTGAAATTCAATTTTATAGCAATGACTCTTAGGACTGGAGGATGTGTTTTAATACCATGTTATCCATCTGGAGTTGTATATGATCTATTTGAATGCCTTAGTACCCACTTGGATAAGTCTGGTTTTTCACAAGTTCCTTTATTTTTTATATCACCAGTAGCTGAAACTTCTTTAGCATATTCAAATATTTTAGCTGAATGGTATGTTTTATATTAAATAAGTATTACAAGTATTTGAACCATCCATTTTAAATTTATTATAGGTTATCAACTAATAAACAAAATAAAGTTTATCTTCCTGAAGAACCATTTCCACATGCCTTTCTTGTTAAAAATGCTAGATTGAAGCATTTTACATCAACATATGCTGAAGGTTTTAGTTCTGATTATAGACAACCTTGTGTTGTCTTTTGTGGTCATCCCAGTCTTAGATTTGGAGATGCAGTTCATTTTGTTCAATTATGGGGCAATAATCCACAACATACCATCATTTTCACAGGTGTATTTACTATTATGTATTATATCAAATATAATGATGATCGTGACATACATTTTCATACATGGTGCACATAATATTATAATATTATAATATTAATATTATATATAATGTGTAATAAATTTCACAGAAAATAATTATCGTTTCAGAACCAGATTTTCCATACTTAGATGCTTTAGCACCATTTCAACCATTAGCTATGAAAGCAGTACATTGCCCAATTGATACATCTCTTAATTTTACTCAAGCTAATAAATTAATTAGAGACTTGAAACCAGAACACTTAGTTATACCTGAATGTTATACACAACCACCAATAACTGCGCCACATAGAACAGATCTTGTTATAGAACCTGTAGGAGTAAGTCAATTTCTCTTACAATAATGTTATATACAAATTATTTTGATTAATTATTAATTTATTTTATGTTTAAGGAGAAACCATTAATCACTTTCAAACGAGGTGAAGTTATAAAATTACCTTTAAAAAGAAAAAAGGGACGAGTATTTATTGAACCAGAATTGGCGGAAAATATAATTCCTAATGAAGTTCGACCTGGTTTAAGTCTTGCTTCTGTTACTGGTGAATTGGAAGTTAAGGATAACGTATACACAATAAAAGTATGCATTGTGCAAATTTATTATGTTATTAAAGTGTGCATGTTTAAAAATTGGTTTCATTACTTAAGAATCATATATTTAGAGTATTGAAGATAGACCTACTGGGAAACGCAAAGCGTCTTCCAGTTCTCCTGCACCAATCAAAGAAGAAGTTCTGAAAGAAAGAAAACATGAATATGGTAATTTGGACCCACAGGAACTGCTTCAAAAGCTTAATCAAGAAGGAATTCAGGGAGCCAAGTTACAACATAGTCCAACTGCTACCAGTATTCATTTAGTAAGACACTTGTTTATTATATATTTTCTGTTTTAAATATATTGCTTTTATTTACATTTGTTTATTGTTTGTATTTATAGCAAGATGAAGATACTTTGATTCAAATAGGAGATAATTCAACACATATTTTTTGTAATGGTGATCAAAAAATTAGGAGACGATTAAGGACTATTATTATGCAATGCCTTAAAAGATTTTAGAATAGAAATAAATAATATTAAACAATAGTTATTTTATATATTGACAATTTTACTATAATTTATTTTTATTTGTAAATGGAATTTTTTGTTTATATAGTGTACAGGAAAATATTGATCATAAGTATTTTTGGTTAACTATAAGTAATATTAATATCAATATGTATCATTGTTCTTTATCCTATATATATGGAATGTAAAATTTAATATGTTACAAGTTATTATTTTTAAAATTACAAAAAATGTGAAATTCCTGCCTTAATTTGGTATTGACAAATATCATTACATAATCAAAATCTTATACAAAAACCATTTTAATTATCTGAGTTTGTATATTCAAATAAATTACACCTTATATATATATATATGTAGTTATATCCATATATATTGATTTATGCAAATATTTATAACTATAATTGTCACGAGAGAGATATTAATATATAATCTATTTCAATTATATTTTTTCATATCATAAGGTAATTAAATAAATTCTTTATGTATCTTATAAAAAACAAAAACACTACAAAACGTTATATCTACCTTATTTATTTAAAAACTAAATTGCGTATATGACTGAATATAAATTACTTGTAAAAAAATTTGTGTATGGTGTTGTATCATATGCACTTTATTTTATACCATTTTGTTCACTTTATTTTTTTTACATGTAGCTAGAATAATATTTCTTAGACTTGATTAAATGTATAAAAATGATATAAAAGTGTTAAATGTAACTCATTATTTGTTAATGTTTATAATTATTATTACATGCATTTTACAACGAGGATTATATTAATTTCTACACTTCATAAATATAAAAATAAAAATTAGTGTTGTTAAACTTTGCATGAACAGGTTTTTGTAATTATTTTAATATATTTTATGGTAATAATATTACCATTTATTTAATATAAAAGTAGTTCACATATTCAACATAATAAATTATCTGTGTTATTAATATTAAATTATAAGATGCCTCTAAGTTATAAAATTTGAAATAATACACATATGAATGTTGAACTGTTACTTCTTTTCCGTCCAATCAAAAATTCATAAAATATAAAATAAACCACAAAGATGTTATCAAAATCTCAAATACAAACATTCGTGTATTTTGTATATACTGTTTTGAATGTATTTTATTTTCTGGCATTTTTAAAACATAAGTTCTGTTTTTATATTTTACTACAAAACTTATTTTTGTGAAGTTTTATTATTGTTTTTGAAACGCAAGTACCTAATTTTTTTATATGCATTCAAAATTTAGCATACTTAAACCTAATTGCCAGTTGCAATACCGAATGCTAAACCAGCTATAAATGATGTAAGAAAAAAGTGAAATTCTGTAGCTTCAAAGGAGCTTTCACCAGTTATGAAGTGGTACCAACGGCGTGTACGAGATTCACCATTTTTCAGTAATTGTTCAGCTTTATCTAGTTTTCTATCAACATATCTCTCAACCTGAAACAGTAAGATCTGTTACTAATCCAAATTTAGATACATATGTTTAGAAATATGCTTATCAAATATTTTATGCAAACTCACTCTAAATATTAATATTTCAGTTTTCAAAATAAAAAACTACATAATGTATGAAAATAAAGTAAAAACAAATTTAAATTACTGTATTTATTATCTGAAATCATTAACTTTTTACAATGCTTTTGTTAGTATCTTTTCATAAGAACAGATGCACAAATTTGTATATACATGTATGGAATTCACATTTCAAATATTAATGGTTACAGAAATTATAAAAACTTCTTAATGCATGTGCATATTTTTAGAAGTGTTAGATTTTAATTACATATGTGTATGGTACAGAGGTACAGAGAGTTATGCCATGATGAACGTAGATTTATATATTAAAAAATTGAAATAAAAATGGTATTTGAAGAATTAAATAATTTTACTATCTAAATGATAAATGACAAATATTTGATATTTAAATGAAATAAAAATGATACCTAACATACAATGCTAATATAAAAGGTAATATTATATATATACACACTTGTGTTTTTGTATAAATTATTTATATTAATTTCTTATTTAAGATGCTAAACCAATAATGAAACCACCAATGAAACTTGTTGCCACAAATGAATTGTTTTGACACCATTTTCCTACCTATAAATAATATTAATAATTATGTTTACATATAGTTATATATCATTAAACATACTGTATCAATGGAAATTGTAATATTAATAACTTCACCTTATCCAAAAATTTGGTTTTTTCACCAGTTACTTTTTCTTCTACTTTATCTGTAATTTTTTCAGCTTTCTTCTGAATTTTATCCCAATTAATTTTAATGTAACCTTGATGTGCTGCAATTTGTAACATAATGATTCCACCTCCAACTGCAAATGCAGCAATTTTTCCAACTCTCATTGTTACAAATCCGGTCAACCTATATGAAGTATTTATATGAAATTACATATAATTAATTTTGTATTAAGTTCTTATCAAATATAATTATAAATAAAAGTTTTTTAGCACTAAACCTATGGCCGAAATGACCATTTTTAAATTTCTAATTAAAAATTTTGCATTCAATGTTATTACTTTTATTATTTGATTTTGCTTTTTCTCATAACATACGTAAAGTCAATTTTCTCATATTTATTGTTTCTTTTATTTTATTTCCCCTGAGATTAATATATAGTTTATTTTATGAATCGCAACTGATCATTTGATTAGCCATAATAGGTTTAGCATTGAGTATTTAATATATCTATAGGATATAAAAAATTTCAACTAAGATTAATTAGAATAATTCAAAATAATATTATTAAAAGTGACGAGTTTTTATATAATTTAAATATAATACCTACCATCCTGATGTTGTACCAATTATAATTTGTTTAGTAGCAGATTTTTTGCTCACGTCTCCTAACAACTTATCTATAATATCTTCTTTGTTTTCCTTTCCTGAGGAAGACATTTTGACACTAAAAAAATTGACTAGTGTGAATTTTTCGGAGACACATAAGATCAAACTTAAAAGCACATGAGTTGTTATGAAATTGTAAAAATACATGATTTCATTGACTTTTATACACAAAAATGAAATAAAATTTTATAATACAGATTATTATATTACTTTTTCCTTAATATATTTTTTCCGTTCTAAATTATCGCGCAAATTATAAATTGTAGGTGCTATTTTTATCTCTTAAAATAACATTATCACAAAGTCATTCTTCGTTTATTCGTCAGAACAAAAATATATCGATGACTGCATTGTCAAAAAATGGTAATAATACTTTATCCTAATAAATTAGTATGTATGTTAAAACGACTAATTATGTCGCAGAATGAAAAGATAAAATATCAAAAATAGCAATAAAGCATTTTAAAATAAAGTTAGAAACAAAAACTGTCTACCGTTTAAATAATTTTGTTGCTCCTGATTTGATGACATTCTTGTGCACTTTAGGCATGATATAATTCGGATGTATCCTTAAATTGTATAGTATTTCATAGTGGTTAGTATTTATATATCTAAGGCTCACCTAATTTCTTCAATTACCGAAGTATTTAATAAAATGAATACTCGTATACGTAGACTGATCTGCTAGATCAAAATCTTCAATATTCTACAACGATCGTTTTAATTTGAAAACCTTAAGGACGTTACAATAGCAAAATCACGGGTTTGACGTCTGTAATATTTTATAATATTTTGACAATATAACGATTTTAAAATTGGTACACTATTTTATAGATATTGATATTAAAAATATAAATAAGACTAAATAAATAACTTAATTCAAAGTAATTTTTTTAATAAATTATACAAATATCAAAAATAATTCTTAAAGAAATTAAAAACCTGAATAATAAATTTTATAAAATATAAATTTTCTAATTTATCAAAATATCGTTTACATAATAATTAAGCAACTTATCGATTATTTATCATATTTTTTTGTAAGCACTATCTATTATAATAAGTCAAATTTATCATAATTACAATTTAACTACCTATTTTTATCGATTTAATGATTTATTAAATTTAAATTGTATTTTATGAGTAGTTATATAACTAATACTTAAATAAGTTTCTACATGCAATAAGGTACGTAAAATAAATTGTTCAATTTTTCGCGCTATTCTGAGACGTTTCTAAGCGTAATATTCTTTAGTGCCGGAATTTACAAGTCGACGTGAGCCACGATAATGGTCTTCCGTCGCGTGATTCGCCATCCTGATTTAACCTGATCGCCGCTTTTAAAAACTTATCGTCCCGATGAGGTGACGAGATGTCGAGAGCATAAATTGTGAAAACTCTCGGATTTTTGTACAAAGCGGGCTGTTCTAAGTGTAAACATGTGTCCTTTCTGTTTTTAATGAGTATATTTACCGAGTACGAAAATGGCCCAGGATACTGATGATATCAACTTGACTCCTCAAGAATTACAAATACTATCTGAGTTAGACAGGTGATTTTAAAGTAAACAAAACCTATTTCATTAAAGCTTGTTTCAGTTTCTTAATTTTCTTCATACCACTTATAGTTTCCTCGCTTATCTTTCAAAATATAACCTAAAAGTTTGTTTGACAGAATAGGCGCGCAATTTGATCCCTTTATTCCAACGTATTTGCAGTCTACTGACATCTTTCTCATTTGTCTTTATATATTTTATTCAATTAAATGTTATTATGTTTCTATTATTTATACTGCTGTTATTCATAGTTCTTAAAATATTAGTTCCCATATGAAGATATATCTAAAACATAAAAATATTTATTATTGTAAAATACTTATTTGCATGTATTCTGTTAAAAATGTAATATAATGCAAGAATATGTTTAATATTGTAATGTTCTTTGTACTTTTATTAAAATGTTATTATTTCAACTTTTAATTAATTATTGTATTTTTTCATTATCTATACAGTCGGCAGTTTGGATTTTTAAAATTAAACTCACCAGAACAAACAAAGAAAAAAGCTTTAGTTGTTCGGGCAATTAAATATTTAGAAAGGATGCTTGTTCAAGCACAAGCTGAAAAGCAACGTAGGAAAGCAGATAGTACAAAAATGAATCCTGATGAATTAAAGGATGATGATGAAGATAAAGGAATTAGTATTGATCCAAAAACATACTGTAAATTAGGACATTTTCACTTACTTCTAGAAGATTATAGCAAAGGTAATTGATTATTTATAGTAAGTTAGTATTGAGTTTATTTATTATATTTCTACATATTTTTGTCATTTTAACAGCTATGTCAGCATATCAAAAATTTTACTCCTTAAAAGGGGACTACTGGAAAGATGCTTCATTTTTATATGGTCAAGGGCTTGTCTATTACCACTTCAATGCTTTTCAGTGGTAAGTAATAATAACATAATTTAGTAATATATTTTTTCATATTCCTCCATTATTCTACGTGTATGTTTTTTTATGTGTAATAATTCATTCTGTTTCTTCCTTGTTTAAATGTGATAAGTGAACAATATTTTTTTCTTTAATGATAAATAGACAATTATAAAATAAATATTTCTAACTCTCATTCAAATGCAATATAATAACATTTTCTTTCAAATATTTGCAAATAATGATAAATATGTTAAACACAACTTATTTGCATTTGTGCTATTATTCTTTTTTATTTTGATAATTAAGACAATCAAAATCTTAATAGCTTTTTACGATAAAGAAATAATAAGGAATTTGCAGTTTTTATCGAATCTACGATTTGGAAAAGAAAAATAAATTAATAAAAATGTCTACAGAAAAATGTTGTAATCTCTCATGATAGTTGTTCACCTTGAAAAGGGGGCGTTGGCCCCTTAGACGATGTACACATAGAGTTCATCGTTCTCTTCTTGCATCCTCTATTTTTTTAATTTCGCGCAAAATCCTGTTGGTAATGTGATTTTGGTTCTTGATGTCGATAAAGTAGAATATTAAAGTTCGGTAAAGTAGATTACTTTTACAAGTTACCAAATGAGTTATTAATAAGCAAATTCAACGGGAGATGTCGCTGATTTCGCTGCAGTGAAATAACGAAATGTGCCTACGTGCCGAGTTGTTTCATGGGTATGGCGACTAGGAAAATGCGTGGGGGAAATAATAGGCCAAGTACATATTTGTTTCAGTGACGAAAATGATAATTTAGGCAGCTAATGTATTACATTTGTAATTATCGTACAAAGTTATTAATAATATTAGTTATTCTTTTAAGTGTATAAAGCTATTACAATTTTTTAAAAATTGTTGATTATGTATTGTATATTTTTATTATGTATTAGAACGTATATTAAAATCAAAAATTGTCAAAGAAATTAGTTTATATACATTCTTATGGATCTTCGTATTCAGAATTATTTTAGAAATTATCTTGTGGTACCTATCGATCGCTTTGATAAAGGGATTCAGCAAGTGTAATTTAACCTTTATCGACATCAATTATTTCGGCTACTGATTCTAATTTTGTTACAAATCATTGCACGCGACTCATATGATATTTTCAAATTCTAAAAATGTAATATTTCCAATTCTTCAACAGTTGCATCGGAATAGCTCATTTAATTGCAGTACTATTAAGTATAACTTAATGTAATTACGTTCTTCATTTTTCACTAGTATCTGAGAATGACCCGGTCAAGAGTTTGGTCGCCACATATTAATGAGATTTTACGTTATAACAATTAGGGTTACTTTGAAAATGTAGAATTTTATATTATATGAAATATCTCTTAAAAAATAGATCAATTTAGTTTAAATCAATTACGTATCAAAATGAAAATATTATTTTATTTTGGGTTTTTATGATTGTTATATTGCAGTTACTTGATAAAATGTGATATTTCATTAATGTTATATTACTAATTATACTTATTGGAAATCTAGTGTAAGTATTGTACAACAGATATTGTTAGTGTTAACTTGACATTTCCTGTCAGGCAATCGGCTTTGTAGACGGTTAGGAGGGGGAATATCGATTTCCTGTTCAACCCTCCTTAACTCGGATGGTGCAAGATTCCCGTGGAACGAAACTCACAGTAGACTTCCTTTCGATCTTTCAGCATTCCACTCAACTACGATACTACATAACCATTATCAATTTCTCTGATCGACTTTGTTTCACTATTTTTCTACAAACGTGAATTGCTTGATTCAGTTATTCCATTACGTAAATATAAACAGATACTTCTAAAAAGAGCGATTCAAATTAATCAGGGAAATATTATAGCATTTATAAATGTAGTACTTCTTTCATGCAAACAAAATCAAATAACGATAATATTATTTAAATTGGATATTAAAGATCGAGTTTTATGTTAATTGATTACAAAGTGTTTCTAACAATGAAAGTTCAACTTGCTAAAAATTTTTCATCCTCAGATAACACTTTTTCATTTGTTATCTATTTAACGAGAAGTTGTTTCGTACTCCTTGCTGTCGATTTGTAATATATTTATTACTATAAGTTCTGTACCTTGAATAATCTCTGTTTATGTGTTAAACGAACACGTTATTTTTTATTAACATATCTGTGCATGTTTGTACAATTTCTCGTTACTTTAATTCGGTATAGTATAATCGTTTCTAAAGTTCAAGTTTTTCTTGTTCCCGTTATATTGTGTGTGTCACGCAGATACATATATCTGCCTTGTCTTACATTGCGTGCTAATCAGTTTGTAACTTTGAGATGTCAAAGTAACTACTCACATAATCTTCGTGTGAAGTAATAGTGATTTTAATTTTTCACTATTATTTATTTCACAGGGATATAAGTTCCATCGCAATAGTTTCCTTTTTCGATATGTATTAGGCAAGAAATCGATGTCACTTCTCCTGAGATGCCTAGAAGAAACAACTATACCACGATGACGCAGTAGAATAGTATCTTTCGTCTTTATCCCATTCGATAAACCGCAGACTTATTCAGCTGGTGAAATTGAATGGAAAATCCTCTCTTTACGGATGCGTGAGGCGGTTTCCTTGGATATATTGGGTTTCAAAGCGTCCGTTCAGGCGTATAAAGTAGGAAGTACGTAACAGCAATTATTTGTAGGCCACGTGAATGAAAAGACTGAATTACATGCGCGTACTTTTTGCACGGTCACCACGTTCGTGAAAATAAAAAAGCTTCCATAAAATACATGTCCTCGAATCTTATTTTTCAGTATCGACCCACTATATTCGTAGAGAGGTTACAAAATGTAACGGCACTTATATCAACTGAAAAGTTTTGGAAAAAATAATTTTAATCCAGTGATTTCAATTAAATGATTTAAAGCAATATGAAAATACAAAAAAGAAATATAGAAGATTTTCATACTTTTGGAATTCATGGATGTTTCCGTGTTTTAAAATTCTATGGAGATTTCTGTTCTTTTGTGCTTCTTTCATTTATTCTGGAAATAACGGTAAATAGGACTGCAAACTAGTACTCGGTAACTAAAGAAACTAGAACAGGTCGTCGGTCGATATTGCAGCACTGTTGACAATTTTGTCTGAAATGATAAAAATTGAATTATAAATTTCATTGAATAAATGTCGAATTTTCACGTTATCATAAAAGGCACATAATTATTGTCAATAGACTTGTTTTAAATTATAGAATTAGGTTAGGAAATATCGTGTTAATTATAAAAGATGTTTTTTTATTTCAAAAGTGACATAAGAACCTTATGAAATAAGATATATTAGCAGATACGAGGCACTTCAATATTTCGATTGCGTGTTGAGTTGCTTCTTCATTTTTCGCGTTTTCGTAATCAAAAATTGAAAGAAATTGGATATATTAATTACATTCGCGTGATAGGTTAGCTCGTCGCAGCGTGCGGCATCGCGCTGCGATCGCGATAATTAGGCGAATAGAGCCACAATCCGTCGATAACAGAAATTACAAAGAGAAAATGGTTTAGCGCACGCTACTGACTGAAGTATCGACGGCGAAATGAATATTATCGTTCCTGTACCGTGAAGTTATTTCTTTGTTACTTCATATCATGTGACTACCCAGGCAGGATGTTTACTATATTCCGGGTGCACTAAGACAGCTACTGAGACACTTCGCTTTTACTTATTTCTGAAAATAATATAACTTAAATTAACGTGTAAATTAGTTTCCCAAATTATTTCAACATCATAAGTAAGGTTAGGAAGATGTCTAAAATTTGAGATTCGCCATTGTCATTCATAGAATACATTCGCTAAATAATTTCACGAAAAATGTTTTATAATGTGAAATAAGAATTGAAACATATGGCATATGAAATTAATGCGGACAAAATATAAATTTGTACTTCTCTAGAGTACTTGACTGTCCTTGGACAGTGAAGGGAGGCTGCGTCAACCCCTTCGTTCGATCGGCGAGCCTTTTTTTCGCCAACTTTTCACCCTCTGCCATTGAATGGAGCCGAATCTCCCTAAGGGTGATTCACATGACGCGTGACTCGTCAGTTCGTAATCTCTTATACGTGTGTGGCTCGCGTATTGTGCATTGTATCGGTGCGTGCAATATTTATAGCAGCCGTTGTGTTATACAGTCGTCGGCTTTATGCATGCTTCTGTTTTACGATATCGATTTTCTTATTTTCTACGTGCTCGCAGCCATAACAATCGCAGTAATACATACTTTCTTTTAGTATCGAATAAATTATTTATATGCATCTCAGTCGTTTTAAACGATTATCCCGTTTTAATGATACATATATGTACATACTAAATTATTCCGCTTCAGAGTCTTGATAATTTTGGACTAACCTTGAAAATAATAAATAATCCTATGTAATATCAAGCATTCTAATATAAATGCAATACAGTACTTGACTTACATTAATAAGGAAATGAATTAAAAATATGCTTTATAAACGAATACAGGTAAAATAAAATTTACTTCATTTCTTATTTTCTTAATGTAGACAAATTTGTATGTGTTACTGTTTCGTTATTAGGTAACTATTCTGAATGCATTTAGTCGAAACAGCAGCCGGAACGTTTGTCCGCCATAGCAGAGAGCCGTTGAGTCACGTGCAACGCATAGAGATGCGTTGCAGACGATCGATTTTACGGCCTCTCCTTCTACGCACGTGTTCAACCATGTATAGTAGTTACACATCAAATTGACGATCGTAACAGTCCTTATCTCATGAACTGTTCTTTATGAAAATGGAATTACATAGCTTCTTTCGTTTTTCTA